TGTATGGAAACTTCAAAATTATTCCATATAATACCTATTTGCAGCAGGCTACTCAGATCCCACCTCATCATTATTCAGCTAATGAGTGTGTCAGCACTTGTCAGAGAAACCAGAGCAGGGAGGAATTACCACCACTGGAGCCGCCTGTATCAGTCACAGAACCCTGTCCTGGGCTGCAACTCCATGCTGCTACGCAGAGCTCAGTAAACCATTCATTTCCAATCAAACACAGAGTCTGACAGCCTGGTCCACTGAATTAAACAGTAAAACTCCCATATAGTACATGGGAGGGAGAGTTTACCCATTTAACTATTTACTTACATTAAAATTTTTAATATACTTATCCTTGCACTAGAAGTTGCAGAAATACAAGTTACAGTCTTTATAACGGGTTCTCTCTTGCATAAGGAAACTTTGTACAGCAACATAATAGTCTAGTCTAATGGGTTAGCACAGTTTTACTAGATTATGAGTAATATATCTACTGTGATGTGTTGTTTCTGATGATTTTAGTAATTTTAGTGAAACTGCTCATTTTAATCATACTTACCAGCCCAAACACATCTATTAGACACAAATAAAATAGTGAGGATACTTTATGGTATTTAGGGAATTGGATTCACCAGTGATGGCGCCTTGAGTGTTGAGTCAGTAGGCACCAAGACCATAAATCTCTATTTAACCTGCTTCAGTGATAAAACTTTCCTCACTGCTCACCCAATTTTAGATTGTCTTTCTCCTGTAAGGATCCTGAAATAGCATTGAAGTTGCTAGCAGACAACACAGTAATCCTTTGGTTCCATGGATAAGAGGATTTTGACTAGGAAGACCCACCAGTGTTACTGAACAGGACAAACACTGCAAGATTTTCGGTGCCTCAGGACAAATATACCAAAACTAAACAATGTCACTATACATATACACACACACTAATCATGTTTGAAAGGACTAAGTTTGTCCTTAAGTTAGCCAGAGACATAAAGTGGAAACATTGATGCCATGAGTTGGTTAAACACTCTGGTGAACAGTTAGACAGTTTATTCCCTGATTCTTCCCATCAGTAATGTTTCCTACTTTATGACTTGGGAGGAAATCTGGATGGAGTCTTCCCTGTCTCCAACACCTCAATTCAAATCCCATTGAACTTACTACAATACCGGATTAAAATTTTAAATTCTGGAACAAAATCTGAAGGCCAGAATGTTCAGTGTGTTTTACTGAGACACAAACAGGTACATATTGGAACTTCAAGATAATGGTGGCATTACACTTAATTTTAATAAGCTCCTGTAAAGTATGGAAACAATATGGTAGCTGAACACCTGCTTTTCCAGACGATTAAATGATATTTTTAAATCCATTTTCAAGAGTTCAGCTGAACTGTGGTTTTACCAAGAGCTTTGTGATGCTGAACAAGCAAATCTTTCTGAAAAATAATAGTTCAAATATTCTCATTTGGATTAATTGAAAATGTCTGCTTCCCTGTGGCAGCACTGTGAAAAGCCACCTCTAATGAATTTTGGCTCCATCTAACAATTCCACCCCTCTCCCTATGATGCGAGATGAGTGGCACCAACTTAGTCTTAACTCACTTAATTTGGGGTGTACAAATATTTCTTAGCTGTAAAAATCCATGTCCTAGACAGGTAAAATCATTCCAGTCATGATGAGCTATGTTTGTTTACAGAAAGCTTCTGGTTTGCCCTTGTTTCAGTTGTACAGTGCAGGTAACAGGTCATACCTGCCTCAGGGATGTCAGTGCCATGTATGTGGTGATCTTCAGTCTTTGCTCCAACACCTTCTCCTCCTTTTTTATTTTGGCAGCAGAATATTTTATCCTCCCAGTTGGCAATTTTTCTGGTACTCAGAGCCAAAAAGCTTAGCAGAGCCTGCTTTTTGAACTGTAATGAAAACAAGGTAAAAAGAGTCCAGGAAGGGAATAAAGTACACAGCAAGACAGAGACAATGACTGCTGTGACCTACTCAGTTTCTGTGAGCTTAAAGTATGTAATTCTGTGTTAATAAGTGCTCATGATTCTTAACATCCCCATGGGGAAAACAAACAAACAAACAACAGACCAGTAATAATTTGAAAGCAAGTTTTCTTTCCCATTTTGCCTTTGTACTTCACCATCTATTCTCTATTAACTGCTCTCTTCATTTGTTTGCTCAATCTTCCCTCTTGAGCAGATAAAAGGGTTTCATTAAAGCAAAGCCTAATGCTGCCAGTGGCAGGAGAGCTGCCAACCCTGGCAGTTTTAGTAAGTCTATTAACCGGACCTAAACATGCTAATACCTAATAGATTCCTTTTATTCACAGCAGCCCTTTGCAAATATTCCTTTGTCTCATATAAAAAACTAAGTTATGCAATTCAAATGAGTAATAAAAGATCAGACCCCACACTCTACCTATATATATACATTGTTTTGGTTTGTTGGTGTTTGGTTTTTTTTTTTTTTTTTTTCTGTTCTAAGAGAAGCAGCAGGATACTACAGTAACCTCTGCTGTACCAGAAGTACTTATTGAGATTAATGAAGCTGGTGTCAGACCTTTCTGTAAAGTATTCAATTTCAGAGATTATTAAGAAGAAACCATCACTGGACAACCAAAACAGAAGTTTTTTTCCAAGGACTTCCTGTAACAGCTCATTTGCAGAGCAGATGCTCTAAACCTATCTGAAGGACATCTGTTATACCCATCTAGTATCGTTGATCGCTAATTTATCCAGAGGGAAAAAAAAAAACAAAACAGATTCTACAAATCACTGTCATCTTCTGTCACTTCCATAGCAATTAATATGGTAGCAAACACTCTGAGGAATAATAAGTGAACTACATAACAGTACTAGTTGGCATCACTGCTTATCAAAGTAAAAGCCTTTATCCTTCTTAATATTATTTGCGTTTCTTCAGGGCTCCACAGGTCCAGCCAAGCATGAATGCATAGCAGTAGAAGAGTTTCAGTTCAACAGAAATCTTGCCAGAAGAAAAATCTATGAGGCTTCTAAAAGAAAAAAAACAAGAGTGCTCATATCAAAAAGAGAAGATTGATCTTAATTATTCTCCTGAAAGACGTTGCTGTTTAGATAATGTAATGAGTATGTGGGGGATCAGGAGGGAGAAGGCACCAGCCTGATGTCTAATGGGAAACATATTCAATATGAAGCATTATTTAAGTGCACATTTATCCAAGAACTACTGTCAGGCAAAGTGCAGAAATGAAGGTGGAGCAGTCCCACAGTATCATTTCTCCAGCCACTTGTGATGACCATAATAAAAAATAGTGGCTATCAACAGATGATTTTTTTAATTCATTCTCTGTTTTCAGGTTTTGCAACGGGTACTGTAGATCTCACTTGTTTTAGTTAGTACAAAATTATCATACAGGTGGAAAAAAAAAAAATAAAAGGACCATGGCTCTGTGAATAGCCAGGATCATACTTAAAACTTAAACTGTCACAGTAAGAAAAGCAGCACTCATCTTTGTAAGGGTTTAGCATAGAAAAACTAATCACACTCATGCCTATTATTAAATTCAGTGTAGAATTTATACACCAGCTACTCCAGTGAGGCTAACAATACATCAGCAACTTTGCACAGCAGCAGAACACATACTGAGGAAAGTAAAACAACCGTCTCCATCAAGGACTCTCCTGCTTCCCCAAGGGAAAAATTACAGGGAAGCCACCTACAGCAGGTGGCAATCATGTTGCTTAGCCATAGCTGTGGTGAAGCCTTCAAATAAAGGACAGTTTGGTACTTACTGATTAATTAGGCTTCTTCATGGTCACCTGGGTATACCCCTCAGCAATTCTCCTCTGTGTTACTTCATAAATGTATTTCATACCCTCGCAGGGCAAAACAGTACTTACACTAGATAATACAACAGCTCACAGACCTCTTTTCACATGGCTCAGTTCTGCTGCCCTACTTCAGAGAACAGAAAATAGAGATGAGTTAGAGCATAAAGAAGGAAAGGAAACCCTCTCCTGTGAATAAACTTACTTTACATAACAGAAATACAGCAACCTTTTTTAAATTCCTTTTAAATAAGCACTCTTGGAATCTCATCTGAATGAACAATGTGATGCTGATTAACACACCTACCTAATGAAGGAGAAAGACTTCAATCATTCTGCCTCTAAATTCACATCTAAGAGCTCAGTTTTATAGCCCGACACTCTGTATTTCTGCATTCTTATTTTTTAAGCTTATAGAAAAAATATAAAGACCCTAACAAAAATCTAGTTTGACACAGAAGGCTATGCAAATACTAAAAAGAAAAAAAAAAAAGTAAAATAATGACAGAGAATATAAATGGATTTTATAGATTCTTCTCTAGTGCCATCTTGCTACCACGATTCCCCTTGTGCTGAAAATCTTAATTAGGAAAGGACTGTGTACAAAAGAATTTGTGACATCTGTCCTCCAACTTATGTTTGTACAAAAATGGTAAATTTTTAGTAACAAATACATTATCCCTTAAAACCCTATGTATTTGTTATTGAGGAAGTTGAAAATGTTCCAAAAATAAACATGTAAAAAAGCCTACTATTTTTCCTTCAATTGCTAATTCTAGGTACCATCAACACATAGAAGTAAGATAGCAATAAAAACATTATTTCATAAGAAATTTATAGTATTTTGTGCCCGGCTGTTGATTTATATAAGTGGACTTTATACTGCTAGGCAACATGACTAATATACCAGAAAAGAAAGTAAAAAGTAGGTCAGTGATAGAGGACAATGGTTCTTCAGTTCAACTTGCCTCCCTGCCTTCAACTTGAAGCATAACATTAATTCCTTGTATTCTGAATCACTAAATAACACTGTAACTAGACATAGAAGACAAGAATTATAAGACATTATCCACCCTGGATCTTTACACAAAACTCCCATGATGTCTATAGAAATTCCACAGCTGCACAAAACAGAATAAGGTCCATGGCAAACAGCTTTCAGGATTTGCTCTTCAATAAATATCACAAGTGTAAGAGAGACAGCAAATGTTAATATTTTATTTGTTTTTAACATATAAAGGTTATAACTCTCTGAAACATTTTTTTTTTTTAGAGCCATCTTGTGGGGAAAATAAGCAATTTAAAACAATACATGTACTCCAACTGGTTTTCTACCAAAAAGATCAGTGTTCAGTATGACATCTTCTAGTATTCTTTTAAAAAAATAAATGTCTCAGACACATTGTAAACTTTACACAACATTGTTTAAACCACTGGAACGTGAAAGAAGAGCCTTTATGAACAATTATGTGCTAAAAGACTGGTTCTAGACAGAAAATACATATATCATTAAGTTAAAGATGCTGTTTTTCTGAAGAATGTTTTTAGGCCAGATTCTATCCAAACTTCACCCAAGTGCAGCCCACAAAAAAAAAGCACAAAAACCTAGAGAAGCTGAGGTTTCTTTCAGAGCTCGCTTGGCCAAATGAGTAAATCAGATGGAATTATTCAGTCTAACTAAAATGGGGTAAAACATCGCATAAATAAACCTAAATACAGTAGTAGATTCAGCACTTGAAGCTGAAAAGCTTTTGTTCTTTAACATCCTTAGCTTTACCGATTTCTTTAAAGTTTTGGTAATCTTCTGCTAGTTCTGAAGGATTGTTTATAAAGAAGTTATTAAACAACAATTTTCTATTTGTGTACAGTTAAGTTAACTACAGGGTTGGGCAGTCAATTTCAAAATGCAGGCTTCATCTACCTAGAGCAATCAAACATCAGCTGCTATTTTATCTATGTGTCTTGTCTATGAAGCAAAGTGCTTAAATTTTATTCTAGAGGACAAGAGTGCACATGTAGTCCACATATCTTACTCTGTTTTAATTTATGCCCTATTAAAATACTTCATTTACATAGAACATTAAAGCATATCACATTACATTTATCCAGTACATAATTATCTTCTATTAATACAAAGGTAAACCGGAGTTTCACAGTATGCTTTTACAAAGTGCACAATCAAGAGGTGCCACAGAAATATGCACTTTCTGGAGCTGTTACAACCAGTATATAGTATAGACCAGCAGACATCTCTGTTAATTCTTGATTTTAAATAAAGAAGGAAATATGACAACAAAAGGGTCCTACAGTACCCAACATCTCTTACAGCTGTAACTAAACAGAACACACTGGCACCCAGATGTATAACCAGACAATTTTGCTAAGGCAAGCATGAGTACGTCAACTTTTAATTTTACACTTCTACCAAATTCTGAGTGAAAGAAGGTGTACATGTGCGCTTGCAGCTTTCCTTCCTCCTTAAAGATGACAATGAGATTTGCTTCCTTCTCATCCTCTTTAAACTTTGGAAAGGAGCCCTGACTCAGGGGCACTTGCTTTAATGAGATTTTGGATTTCTTTGAATTTTGGATGTTCTTTATCAGCTACTAGCTGCAGCAATATAGCTTCACTAGTAGTAACTATAATTCCAGTACGAGCCAGACGCTGAAAAAGAAAAGAACAGAGAGAGAACAATGTGAGATATTTGCAAATGGGAATAAGTATACATTTTGTAAAAAAGACTGATTTAAAAAAAAAAAAAACCTCCTATTAAAAAAAGTACTGCCAATTCCATTCCAGCCTTTCTTAGTGATACCATTTAAAAAGCGAGGATGGAAAGTGACTGGTTTTAGACTTTACTGAGGAAAAAGGCTGCCCTGTATTACAAATAAGGCTTCCTGCTTGGACTGAGTACTTTCCCCATGTCAGATTTAATGCATAGAAAAAGCCACCCCTCTTATATTAACAACCCATTCCCCTTGCATGGTCCCGAGGATATCTTCCTTCATTCTGATGCAGGTTTGGAAGGCCTAGGGAAAAAGAAAATAGTGAGGCCCAAGCCATTGGCATTAAGTAAGAAACTTAATTGTAACAATTTATCTTTCAGGGCTTGTTGTGTCCTAGTACTTTGGTTTTTGGACTATACAACACACTAGTACTAATAATCTCAGGAGACAGAGCAAAAAGCTCTTCAACAGACCTCATAAATCATAGTGGCACAACAGCAGCTCCTTTTAACAAACATCTCATTCCAGCCTCAGTAACTCCTGGTTAGTTCTCACAAGGCTACATAATAAAAAGTATTGCTGCATAGCGAGCAAAACTGAAAGAGGTCTGCTAGATCTGCAAGCGTGCAACTAAACAGAACACTCCTTTGTTTAGCACAAGCCACAGGACTTACTGCAAAGTTTTTGGACTTTTAAGACTGTGGTTGTTGCCCATGTAGTAGAGTTATCTTTAAGTAAAGGCAGATGATCCCCTGACCCTTATCAGCTTCTGAGCAATTGTACAGATGCTTTGGTAGTAGAACTCTTCATGGATGCAGCCTTTCCCCCATCATTCTCTACACAGCTGCATGCTCCACCAAATCTAATGGGGTCCTGGATGAGCCCAGGGAGGGCAAGAGGCTGACAATACAGACATGTACACCTTCAGCAGGTTTCAGTTGTAATTACTGAAGCAAAGAGAAGCTCCCGACTTTCTAGGGCAGACATAGATCACTCTGGTTTTTCAATTACAATGAAATTGATGGAGGAAAGTTACTCATTTTAGGGAACCAGTAAAGAATATGTAACTACAGTCTATATAATGATAAACTAACTAGGCTAGGTTTATTCAAGACAATGCTTCCTCCTTGCAATAATGACAGTCAGCCTTGAAATATTCTCAAGTTGAAACAAAGCAGATAGCTTCCCCAGCTCTCCTACTCGGTATAACGACACATTTGTTTAAGCCACATACACATACAAAAGAGAAAAACAGGAAAACCAAAATTAAATACTATGGCAATGTTTACACGATGTACTTCTCCAGGAATACAAAGTTTTTGCTTTAAACTAGTGTGGATGAGAGAAAAACCAGACTGTTAAATAACCTTGCCTTCTGAGAAAAGTTGACTGAAAAAAGAGAATGTCTTCTCTTTAGAAGCACAACATACCAAAACATGTCAAAGATGCTGGCATTGGCTTATATTCTACTTCTAGGACTAAGTAGAATTTATACAGTTTTGAGATTAGTAGGAATGAAGAGATACACCTGCTAAGCACACTGAATGATTTTTAAGGAAAGGTTAAGTTTTCTTAGAACACAGCCTTTCAAATGAAGGGAAGCAGCAAGCACGTGTTGCATCCACACTGCCCGAACAAGTAAAATAGATGTAGAACAGAAAAGAAAGCCATCAGGAACAGACTGAGCTTTCTCAATCCAAGACGAAGCAGTGACACAAGGCATCTTTATCAGATAGGGCAGAGATTAAGAACAGCTACAACATTGTCCACTTGGGTTGAACTATTTAATCAATGGAAATTTCAAGGTTTTTTGGCTCCTGGGTCTTTTATTTTTTGTTGCAAGATTTTGCTTGCTGTCATTTTTAAGTGAACAGCAGAAGTGGAGACAATAACTCTTTAGGGTCATCTAGGCAACATGAAATCTTTGGCTATCAATTAATTCAAACTGTACTTCCTAGTACATCTGTTCAGATATTTGCATGTCCATCACCAGCACCATCAAAACACATCCTGTGTGAGGAGAAATGTGGAGAAGTGAAGGGGCAGGTGGGACTAGATGGCATTTATTTGAGGTTGCTGAGGAAGCTGGTTGTTATCACTTCAAGGTAACTCTATCATCCTTAAAGATCACTGTGAATAGAGGAGGGCTATGTTACCGGTGGAAGGTAAATGTCACACCCATCTTCCCAGAAAGGTAAGGAGAAGGATCCAGGGAACCCAGATCAATGAACCTCACCTCAGCTCACCAGGTATCTCTCTTGTGCGAACTTGCTCCAATGACAGATTCAATAATTAAAGAGCATGACTAGGAACTGTCAGCTGTACGGTAAAACCAAAGCAGGATTACCCAGTGCTTTGCTATTTTACCAACTTCCCTCAGAAACATGTTTCTTAATTTCAATCAGGATTATTGACATGCCCAGTACGACGTGTCCCTTTCTCCTGGTCTCCTGTTCCCAAGCATGCCCACCTCTTGCCCATTCTAGCCCACAGCCCTCAGTAGCATTTTTAATAGGCTCCACAGCACAAAAAGAAGACAATGTTGGCATGTGCAGCCACAGCGGATGACAAGGAGTTACTGCCATATAACTAGCTGGCTCATTACAGCAAGCCAGCAAATGTTCCCTGAATCATATTTTAATGATGACTACTTAAGGGACCAAAACAAAACATCTTCTTTGTGCTTGGTGGGAAAACATTGCAAAGACATACTAAAAAGTTATCTAAAACTGACTAATTTGACTGGATGACAGCCTTTGCAAGCAGCCACACTTTTAAGTTGATAGATACCTTTTCAAATAGATAGAAAAACAAAGCTAGCTAGTCACTGCTTTAACCTCTATTACACTGGGCCAACTTCTATGTTTGCAGATGCAGTGAAGTGATAATAAAATGCACAATGATGTACATAATAAGGCAAACAGATTTCAGTTGTTCTATATTTGTTTTGTCTGCTACTGCACCACATTGACTTGGGAAGTCCATGATTTCAGTAATTTCTGAACTCTGTGTGCATCACTATGCTTTACGTGACAGATGACACTAAGCTTCTGATTAATCAGAGTCATGGGCTTCATCAAATGCTATATGCTGGTGATTTCCCTTTAGCCTTTAATTCTCTTATTCATAAGCAACAGAAGCAATTAAGTCTTCTCCACATCTATGAAAAAAAGTATTAAATGCTGTAGTTATTATCAATTTCCAAATAATTGTTAGGGCCTGGAGGCAAAAATTTCAATACTTAATGTATATATCAGGTTTTGACTTCCAACAACGATGCCTGTAGGCAAGTTAGAGTACACTATCAAAAAATTGTTTGTATGAATTTGCTATCACATAGTTGTACATGCTCTTAAATCCTCTTGTTACATTTCACTTTCTCAACATTTAGACTAAGCTCCTAGAAGGGGTGAAAAAAAGTCTTTACTATAATCACAGTCTTGAGATTAAGATTTAATTTGCACTGACAGGAAAGAGCAGAGGGAGGGACGGACATACAAGAGGGAGCTTTCAACAGAATCACTATATTCCATTGCATTTCAAGGAATTTCAACAGCAGAACAAATTCTGTTTGGAACAACAAAACCAAAATCTCTGTAGCACTTTTACTCTGCTGTACAGATAACACTCCATAAGAAAATATCCTAAAATGCTAATGGCTATACAGAGTAATCTAGATTGCACGAAATAATGACTTTTAAAATCCAAGTGTCTCAAACTGGGTTCCACATATTAAATCATAATGTGGGGAGGAAAATTAAGACAGCAATCCTTCTCCATCCTGGAAGCTATTCCCAGATTCAGTGTATTTACCTCTTAAGTCTACATCTGCCCACTGCTTACTGTCCTTAGAAATTCCTTGTTAGCATACAATAAACAGGAAAATTAACATACAGACCCAAGGTGGAAAAAGCCTTGACTAAGAAACTTACCTCAAGAGCAAACATTCTGTCCATCATACTTCTTGATGAGGTGGCATCAGCTACGATATGAACTTCCAGACCTCTGCCTATTAATTCCAATGCTGTTTGCTGGATGCAGACATGAGTCTACAGGGGAGAAACCAAAGGCAAAAAACCCACCAACAAAACATTATTATAAAACATGAGTAGCTATTTTTCTACCCTGACATTCCAAGGGAACTCAGTGTGAGTTTTAAATGCCAACTAAGCTTGAGAAAAGGGCCTCTAATTTACAAATCTCTCATTTCATATTTTATTATGAGATAATATTAAAGACAAATAACATGAAAATAATCTAATCTGAGGATATGTGAGCTCTAAGCAATATCATTTGACTGTTTATTTTAATTACAGAAAGCAACGCTTAATACTATTGTGGGCCAACAGACATTACCATAAAACAGTACAGGAATGACAGAGCACATACTTCTACTCCAAACAGGACAACGCTGCGGACTCCAGGGATCTCTGCTAATGCTGCTTCAACTTCTGGCAATACCATTGAAAACTTTGTTTTGGGAAGAACAAGTTTAGCTCCTGTTAAATCAATTTCTTGCACAGTGCTGCCAAGACCTTTGGGATACTGTTCAGTTACAATAACTGGAATTCCTAAGAGACGTGCACCTTGGAGCTGCAAAGGGGCAGGAAGGAAAGCATACAAGAACAGAAATTACTAAAGAACAATAATAGCGAAGTGTCCTGGGTTGAGTGAGTGGTGGGGTTTTTTTTTGGTGGCAGGGGAGGGGGCTATAGGGGTGGCCCCCTGTGAGAAGCTTCTCAAAGCTCCCCCAGCTCCAAGCCAGCTCCACTTCTGTTTGGAAACTGAGCCCATCAGCTGCACCTCTGCGATAATGTATTTAAGAAGGGACGTGGTGACGGGCAGTGGGACTTGTGAGGAGGAGTTGCTGCAGCTGCATGAACACCAAGGTCAGTGGGGGAATGGAGGAAGAAAGGAGGGGGGAGGTGTGCCGGAGAAGAGACCCCCCTGTATCCTGTGGTGAGATGGCAGGGTGGCCCCCCCTGCCACCCATGAAGATCTACGGTGGAGCAGACATTGATCTATGGCCTGTGTTTTGTTTCGCCTGGCTGATCAAGGTGCTGTGCCTGAAGAAGGCCGGGGTCTTGTGGGAAAAGGTAGCCCTGCTGCTGTAATTCAGCACTGGGAGGATTGCAGCATGCAGGGGAGTCCCACACCGGAGCAGCTCGGGAAGGGCTGCAGCCGTGGGAGGGACTCCAGTCTGAGAAAGTTGGTGACCCACGACAGAGCAGTCTGGGGAATGCTGCGGCCCGTGGGAGGGACTCATGTCAGAGAAAGTTTGTGGAGGACTGTCTCCTGTGAGAGGGGGACCACGATGGAGCAGGGGGAAGAAGTTCCAGAAGCTCCCCGCACTGAAGATGGAAGAAGCAGCAGCACTGACTGCACCCCCCATTCCCTGCCCCTGCAACACTATGGGGAGGAGGTAGAGATATCAGGAGCAGAGCTGAGCCCGGGAAGAAGGGAGGGGTGGGGGGAAGGTGTTCTCAAGATCTGGCAATGCTTCTCACTGTTCTCCTCTGTTATGTGTTGTTGTTAGTGTCTGTAATAAATGTATGTTCTTTCTTTTCTTCCCCTAACGAATCTGTCTTTTGCTCATGACCATAAAGGGGGATTTTTTCCCCATCCCAGTCCTATCTTGAACCCCAAGCCTGGCTCTCTGTCCCTTCTTATTGCCAGAAGAGAAGGGAGAGAGAGTGGCTGCGCAGTGGTTGGCTGCCGACCAGGCTCAAACCACGATACAAAGACATTGTTACTACCCAAAACTGAATAACCAGTAAACTGGCTGAGTATAAAAATAATAATTTACATGTGTGATCAAAATTCACTACACACAAAAAAAAAAAAAAAAAGCAAAAACTATACCAGTCGTTGGCCCACGCTGATGATGTCACCAAAGTACTTGATGGCAGGCCGGAATCGCTCTTGCATATCACAACAGAAAAACACAGTGCTTGAGGGTGTCAGATTGCCCAAAGTAGTCATCTGAAAAACAAAGTAAAGATAATGTTTTCCATGGTAATGAGGACCCTTTTAGAAAAGCAGCAAAATGAGAAAGAGTTGACAACACCTCTGCCAGGTAACAGATTTATGTTAAGTCAAAATAGGAGAATGGTTTTTCAATCCCGATTTTGGTATGCTTCTAAATTCAAGTGAATGGCTGATATTGAGCAGTACAGTACAGTCATCGATAGGTAATCAAGATTTTACTAGGTGGGAGACACAAGTCACTGTAAATGTACCTAGAAATTTCTGAACCCTGAAGGGGGGCAGAGAAGTATACTGCCTAAAGTACTGTTAAAAACAAAACAAAACACAGGTACAAACAGCAACATTACATTCCTCAAATTCACTTTTGAAACCACAACTCTTGGAATTGACATAAAATCAGAATAAATTGAAGTTAAAAAAAAGTCAGATTTCCACTTGCTTTCAATACTGTATGTACACATATTTTCAATAGTTTCATTGTGTAGTCAGTTTGTTTTGTCTATGACATCTTTTAGTGCAAGTTTTATTAAAGTCTAAAGGCTAGAACAAAATCAGAGAAGCTTGTCAGTACTATGACCAGAAACTGAACTGAATACATTTTAATGACAAAAATAATATCCCAGAGTTTCCCTTGTACAGGCTACCAATGGGTAGAAGGGGGAGGCAAGAAAAAAAGAAACCAGAGATTGCATTTTCTCACACTTTGAAAGAATGCTTTGTGTTTGTATGAAATTACTTTGCACTACCTGCAGAAGGCTTCACCTGAAGGCTACAGGGAAAGAATGTAGCTTAGTTCTAAGGCAACTCAAGAGAAATTACATCCATTCAGGACCTTTTCAGGAGACTGATAAATCAAATTGAATAAACTGCTTCTGGGAAGTAGCCATTAATTGTATATACTTCATTTTCTGCAAACTGAGATTGTGATGTTTTAAACTGAAACAAAATTACAAAATCTATAAAATATTATCTTTCGGAAGAGCAGGGATGTATTGGGTGTACAAGGTTTTAGTAGTGAGCGGAGGCTGCAGGTGTGGCTCTTGTGAGATGCCAGAAGCTGCTCCATGTCAGACAGAGCCACTGCCAGCCAACTCAAAGATGAATCTGCTGCTGACCAAGGCTGAGCCTGTCAGTGATGCTGGTGGTGTCCCTGTGATAACAGTTAAGAAAGGGTAAAAAAAAAAACCCGCTGTGCAACAGCAGCTGGGAGAGAGCAGCAAGAACATGCAAGAGAAACAACTCTGCAGCTTCCAAGGTCAGTGAAGGAACGGAGGAGGTGCTCCAGGCACCAGAGCAGAAACTCCTCTGCAGCCTGTGGTGAGGACCACGGTGAGGCAGGCTGTGCCCTGCAGCCCATGGAGGTCCATGGTGGAGCAGATCCCCACCTGCAGCCCAGGGAGGACCCCACGACAGAGCAGGTGCATGTACCCAAAGCAGGCTGTGACCCTGTGGGAAGCTTGTGCTGAAGCAGGCTCCTGGCAGGACCTGTGGTCCCAAGGAGAGGAGCCCACACAGGAGTAGGTCTTCTAGCAGGACTTGTGGTCCCGTGGGGGACCCATGCAGGAGCAGTCCATTCCTGAAGGACCGTACCCGGTGGAAGGGACGCATGCTGGAGCAGTTTTTGAAGAACTGCAGCCTGTGGGAAGGACTTACGTTGGAGAAGTTCATGAAGGGCTCTCCCTCATGGGAGGGACCCCATACTGGAGCAGGGGAAGGGTATGAGGAAGAAGGAGCAGAGACAACGTGTAATGAACTGACCACAATTCCCATTCCCCATCCCCTGTGCTTCTTCTGGGGAGAAGGTAGAGAAGCTGGAAGCAAAGCTGAGCCTGAGAAGAAGGGAAGGGTGACAGGAAGGTGTTTTTATATTTGTTCTTATTTCTCATTATTTTACTCTGTTATTGATTGGCAATAAATTAAATTATTTTTCCCAAATTGAGTCTGTTTTGCCTATGATGGTAATCGATGAGTAATCTCTCTGTCCTTATCATGACCCACTAGCTTTTTGTCATATTTTCTGCCCCTGCCCTGCTGAGGATGGACAATGGGAACAGCTTGGTGGGCACCTGGTGGCTGGCCAAGGTCAACTCACCACAAGGGAACCAGGAATCCTTAAAACATTTGACTCAAATCTTTCATGGATTCACCAAATCGCTTAAGTAAAACATTTTTTATCTCAATTTCCAAGGCTAAAAACCTACAGCAATTGCCAGGCTGAACCATACGGAATGGCCTGTTCAAACTGTTGTAGAAATTACTTGTGTCTTATAATTGTAAATGCTAAATTCCCACACCTCTCAGATTCAGTACACCACTACTACCAAAACAACAAATGTTTGTAACTGCAGTTCCTCTAGTCCTTGTGGGCGAAACAGCAATACTGTTAATACAAGCAGTGATGCAGGTAAATGCAGTAACAACCATAAAGCAGATGCTCTATTATTGGACCCACTGATGTCAGAGGAGGACAGAAGAGCATCACAAAAAGCATCAGGGAAATCTTTTTCACTAGGAAGGTACAGCTGCACTGAAACAGGTTACCAGGGTGGTGGCACTTAAAGGTTTTCAGCATTCAGCAAAGCGACAGCTGATTTGATCAAGAATTGGCTTTGCATAGGGGTTAGGGAAGGCAGCCTCTGAATAGCTCTCCCAAACAACACTTCTGCGATTCTACACCATGTAATAAATGAAACCTGGGTCCAAGAATGCTTGAAAATAAAATTAAATATTGAATAACTGTCTTGTTCTTGAGCTCCATCCATCTACATGCTTGAACAATGCAAAAGTCAGTTGGTGGGAAGTACTAACATACAATTCAACACCACAGTGAGCGCTTATCTTGATGCATTCTAACTCTGGCAGTTACTACCATCAGAGCAGTCAATCACAACATTTAACTTTGCTACTACTCAGCAGCAAAAATGGTGTAATTGGAATAGACAATATTTATAACTGTACCTCCTACTCAGAAAATGTATCATTTTGTCTTGGCATTTATATGACAAAGACCATTATTTTCCTCTATAAATCATTCCACCACTTTAATTTCTTGAATATCATTTTGAACCACTGCAAACCCTCATGGATTGTAGAATGATCTACATGGAGTTAGTCTACTACTTTAGTAGTACATGGAGTACTTGATACTACCTTAGTAGTCCTACCTTAGTAGTCCATGGAGTTAGTCTACTACCTTCCTATGCCAAGGCAGCGGATGGCACTAGCATCCTTAGCAGAGGAACAAGTATGAACAGACTAGCAAGGCCTTCAAGAAGCTGCACAGTCTGCCTCTACAGAAGGATCAAACACACACAAATATTCTTCAGAGATACCTACCTGGTCTGACCCATCAGCGATACATGATTTACAAAGCTCCTATACAATCCATCCCACAGTTCTGTCAACTTCATCTTGCAGTGTTTTCTTATCCACAGCTCCTTTGTTGCCATTTAAGAGAATTGTTTCCAGTTCAGTCCATGGTGGATTTGAAACGCAAGATCATTACCATCCTCCTTCATGTGCATAACCATGCACAAAGACCTATCACCATGCCTCAAGACTCAGAATCAGTCTTCCTTTAGCCCTTTTCCTCCCCTCCCTTATTCTAAAACATATCTAATACTTTCAATAAATCATTTTCCTTGCCCTCCCTGGGGTGCCTTTCAAATTGCAGTCTACAGTGAGGCAGCCAGTATTACTATAACAGTAGCTTTTATCGGCCTATAATACTTCTCAGCACTCCTAGAACCTCAGAGAAGATCGGTCAATTCACAGCCCTTGCAGGTCCTGTTCAAGTTGTACTTTCCAGTATCCCATTTGCTCTCTTCATAATTGGTAATACTTAGACTCCTGAGGTGCATTTTAACCGTAAAATAATCCCCTGAACTCTCCCTTAATTTGTGTACTTGATTATTTCTACCTTAGCACAGGAATTATTTCTACCTTTGTTGATTCAATTTTGAACTGCATCTTATTTCATCTTGTTACTCCAACTTGCCATGAAAAACCTGGATTCTGCTCTCTCAGATGTTTGCAGCTTGTCCCAGCTTGGCACCTTCTGCAAAAACAGTATTTGCTGTAAGTTTCGGCAGTGACACAGATGGCGTAGTATTTACAAACTGTGGATCCAGAACAGATCTTATAGAGCCCTATTCAATATTTTTCCGATTTGACAGCGAAGCACTGAAGAAAACCAACTGCTCTTACAGCCAGGGTGCATCCTCATTACAGACTTTCACTGAATCCATAATCCCATGTATTTGTGACAAACATCACAGGGAGATGGAGGAAAAGGCTTATTTATATCTGCCTTCCTCTACTATCAAGTTGGTTTAATATGATTTAATTTATACCTTCAGTTTAATATCAGTGGCACTCTAAAATAAAGTTGGGTCAACTATGTTTTTGCTAAATAAAAGCTTTTACAAAATCTAACACAAATAGTTCCTACATTGATTTTCATATTTATTTCTGATTAACTTCCAGCCTGAATCAAACCATGCAACACGTGGTAAAACAAGAAGAAACTGGAAGAAATAGATGGTGAGATCAAAAAAAATCAACATGTGCTGGCGTTACTTGGAATAGCAGACGTGAGAAGGACAGAGTGCAGCAGAAAGCAGTCTGGAATTAAGTTTCATAAATAGTAGCCAATGCAGTCCATAAATAAATTCACAGAAGTATCTGCTTTGTATAAAGGAAAGTTTCCATTTACTGGTTCTTCAATGTGCCACGTAAATCCTGACGCTCATTTGCTCTCAAAGCCATCCCCCACTTCCACAGCCACATCACGCTGGGGACACGGGACACCTCCAGTTCACCCATTCCCTGCCAGTGAAAACCTCAACTGCCCACACGGCTCCAGTGCCGCATCCTGCCACTGAGCTGGGGGGGGGGCAAACCCACACCCAGACATCCATCAAACCCTGGGCCGGCACGCCAGAGCCTGTTTGCTTTCACTCTGAGGAGAGGCAGGCTGGGCAAGGACGGTGAGCTGCTGCAGCCACACGGTACCTGTCCGAATCCACACCAAAAATACATCTACTCTGCCACGGTATCATTAAACCACCGGAATGTAAGAAGGAAAAAAACCCCACCAGTCCCAAATCAACCCCACTCCTCTCAGTTCGTCACCAGGAATTTCGTCCCTCCAGATGGAAGTTATCCACAGCACAACCAGAATAGGTACATCAGATGGACCTGTAACCTGATGCAGCTCTTTTACTCAGCTAGAGAAGTCATCTCTAGGACCTTGTCCAGACCAGGATTTAAAGGTATGCTGTCACGAGTTACATACAGCTTTAAATCCTACTCTAGAAAAGGCCTAGGTGGGAAAGGACAGGTGCTTTTTCACATCTATTTCATCTCTGCTGATTATTATTAATCATACAAAATGTGACTGATGAAGTACTGTAATTACGGAATCAGCTCTACAAAAATATTCACGTATACTGCCTCTTTATCTGTACTTTCCCTGATAACTTCAGGAAATCACTACACACACAAAATGCAATTTTCCCCCAGTATTTGTAATGAACAAGAAAATGGAACCAGAGAAATAATCCCATGTGACATCACTCATAAATCTCTTGCCAAGGTTACCCACTAAAAGGGCAGAGTGGAGGACCTCGCAGCCTTTGTATTTCAAGGATGACATAAAAAGACAACAATGAAAAGAAGCTGCCTATAGTATTTTCATCTCTTTTATTTCTAAAAAGGAGTCTGTAGGATTCAGTTGTACCTTGCTGCTTATCTTTCAAAGAAAAAAAAAAAAAAAAAAAGGAAGAAATCCAGTTTAATGTATTTCAAGGGAAAAACGGGTTACAAGTGTTTCAATTTAGGAATATAAATATTCATTTTATGCTAAGCCAAAATGCAGCTTTTTGCATACAATTCAACATTTAAAAAGGTCAAATTTAGTTAGATAACTATATGATGTCCATGTAATTAAGAAAGTATAAAATTCTTCATCAAAATCCAAGATAATCAAAATGCTTGCTGCAGATTAACGATACACAAACAAGGATCCTGGATTTGAGGAAACGCCTTTCAGCACCTTCAGTCTTTTTTTTTTTTCCCCTCTCCTTTAAGGTTCCAAGTGTTGCTTTTTTAAAAAAAAAAAAAAATTATTTAGAAACATTGTATTTAATTGTAGCACTAATGTATCAGAAAAAGTGCACCTTTTAGAAAGGAAAAAGAAATTAAAAAAGCAAACAACTCCCCTCACCAGACTACTTACTGTTCATGATTTGGCTTTTCCTGGCCTTCAGAAAATGGACTTAAGCTCCTGAGTTAATCTTATGTCTACTTCCAAAGCATCTGAATGTAGCAATATTAGATATGTGCATAAAGAGTGAAAAATCTGTGTATAAGTAGTTCTAGTCTATTTACCTTATCTTTCTACAACAATTAAGTATCATCCTGCAAGTAGCTTTCTGCAAGAAAGGCACACCTGAGACGTCAATATGTCTTTAAAAAAAAAAAAGACCCCTGAAGCAGAGGTGCTTTATGCATGATTTCAAAAATAATTTTACCCTTTTAGCTCTAGCATCCTAAGGTTACCAGTTTGTAAATGCAGAGCACAAGCACTGCTGAACAGAAGTCACCTTGAAGTTATGACAGTGACTGTGAAATAGCCTCTCTTTGAATGCTGCCTGAACTCCTCTATTACACGGCTGTAATGAGTATAGCTATTTTGACTTCTGGTATCTCCAAAGTGTTTTTCCTTATTGCTTCTCTCCTCCAAAGGCAGCTACAACAGTTACGGCAAAACGCCACAGTTTTAGTAGTACTGTTAAACTGCATTTAGAGTTAGAAGAGGTTAAAGTGGTCCTGCATTCCCCCGCTTCAGATATAAATATTATTCTGTTAAAACTTTTAAAACACATAAAATCCATGAAGAGCGGATGGCTCCTTTCTGCTAGTACTCATTCCCTCAAGATGCAAGCAAATGCCCTCCTCACCTGTTGGGAGAGGCCAAAGGAAAAGTCCCTCCTCACTGCAAGTCTGTGGCTGAGGAGTTTCAAGAGCAGCAGCCAGTCTGAACGTCGGGGTTTACTGCACCCACCAGCCTGCCTAATACTGGACATTAAAAGTTAAAGCAGCTGTTCCGCGCCAGGTCAGCTAAACCAAACAAATGTACAGATACGAACTCAGTACAAAGGCACAAACATGACTGGAGAGCAAATGTCCTGTTACAGGTTGAGCCTTGAATTGAGCTGTGTGGAATGGCTTTCCAAGGGCAACATATGGTGATTTCTCTGTGAGATTACTGTCCCCCTCAACTGCGGGGACAGGAAATTGAAACAGCCCAGTCAAACACCATTTGGTGCCGACATTTCTTGAGCTACTGCAACAACAGGCATCCTTCTGTAACAGGTCTGCACAGGAATCAAAATGGGAGGGTACCATTCCAGAGCTCAGAGTTGGTATGGCCCTGGGGTTAAAATGCCATCCCTAACTAAGTACATACATATATTTTATAAAGCATGCACATAAAAATACTGAAAATATTGTCTAGGGATATGGATGCTAGTATCTGTGAATCTTAGTTTTAAACCAAATATATCTTTCCAAATATGCAAGTCTAATCACATCAGTGAGCAAAGGTTGTCCCTCTTGAAATGGTATTTCAACTGACTATGCCGCATGCAGAGTTGACAAACCTATGTCATGTGTAACTGCAGATAAAATATCGGCGGTGGGGGGGTGTGAGGGGGTGGGGAAGGGCACACAATAGTGGCAGTGCATGAATCAACATACGGAAAGAAAGTATAATCTTCCCATCAGTAAATCCTAAAGGTCTTAAAAAGCGCAGCTGTGACTGTATCAGACCAAATGTTCTCCAAATGAATGATCCCTGAGCACCTGCTGGTGGCTTAAGGCAAGCTGACTGACATTATTGTGATGTCTCCAGCTCATTCTCAGCTGCTGAAGCACATCAAGGATGCAACTGAAATGATACACAAGTACCATCCCTTTCATATCAACAGTTGCTATTGTCACAGAATTGCAACAGCATCAGTGAAAGCAGCTAATCAACCAGGCAATTAATGCATCAGTTCGTCCTGAATCCCTGCAGTCAAAGCTGCATAGTGCATCTGCACCCTGAGAATGACGTATCCTTCCATGTCTCAACACTGACTTTTTACACCGAGATGTACGTCCTGCTACCAATGCTTGGGCTGAATTTATAGTTTCAGTGCAGAAGTCACCTGCAAGAGACTCTTTGCAGAGCAGCGATCTGCACACACAAATAAGAAACAAAATTCTGACCTGCACCACTGCTACATGCCCAGATTACATAAATTCTGTTTTTAAATCCTTGCTTGATTTAACACCCATACCAACTCTTTTTGCCAGTTGGACAGGCTGTCCCTTCCAGTTTCTCTGGCTGGGCCTCCATTCTGTTTCCAACACACAAAGGAGAAAGGTTGCAAACTGAATATGATAAGTGACAAATTATGAAATGAATAATAAATGACAAAACAAGTTATTAAACTAGTTTGGTCTTCTTAATCGCTCTTTCCATACATAGGGTTAAGGAAAGGACAAAAGATTCCAAAGGCATCCTTGATGTACAGTCTAAGGAAAGAGGCCACCTTGAGAGTTTATGGGTTCAAGACACTACAATTAAGCAGGGTTTACAGTGTGAATTAGACTGTTTCTGGAAACAATGAGGAGATGAGCAACGTTACAGTTTTTATGACATCGCTTTTTCAACTTATTAGGAATGTTGGCTCTACAAACTGAAACTTCTTAGTTATAAATTGAGAACAAACTTCTGAATTAAAACAGTAACTATGCATTTGGTGTTTTGTTTTAAAAAGTTGACTTTGTTGATGGAGAAATAAAAAAGCACTTTTGCTTCAAGTGAAACTATTACAGTACGGCTGGCACGAGCATGAAGATATCTTAGTATGAAACACACGTACTGTATCTGTCTGGCAGTCTGATGTCCTGGTTCATGCCCACAAAACTAGTGAGTTATGAACATGTAAATCGGAAAGAGCTTTTGGGGCAAGAAGGGATACAGAAATCGCAGGGACCTGCGAAACACCAGACCGAGCTCTGGCAGAGAGCCCTCTTTACCGGCACCCTTTCAGTTTCCACCGAGACGCATGACCTCCGGGTGAGGCCGGGGAGCACCAGCCGCCTGTTCTAAAGGAGAAGGTACTGTCTATTTCAGCCGTCAGGCTAGTTTCCCGTTCACGGGAACAAGTTCTGACTCGCTGAAGGCAAAGCCCGGCTGCCAAACGCATGAGGCGTGGAGCGCACCTGCCCCAGTAAAACAAAAGTTTCCACAGATAAATAAGTCAGCGTGGGCTGGCGGGGCTCTGCCCGCGCCCCCAGCCCGCTCCGGGCCCCCCCCGGCCGCCGTCGCCGCTCCCCCACCCCGCAGCTCACTGCCGCTGCTCCCCGGAGGGGCCCGGGGGAGGCCGGGCAGCCTCAGGCGGCGGCCGTGGGAACGGGGCTGCCCGCCCACGCCCACGCCCACACACCTGTGGCGGCCGGCGCTGCCCCGCCGTCGGGTCTCACCTGTATCTGCAGCGGCACCAGGCGCACCTTGCAGCGCTCGCTGACCAGGAAGCCCTTGGGCAGGTCTATGTACTGGCTCCACTCCTCGGCGAAGAGCTGCACCACGAACTTGCGGTGCATGTCTATCTGGTCCCCGTAGAGGCTGAGGAACTTCTGGATCAGCATCTCGTAGCCGGCGCCGTGGGGCACGCTGGAGGGCCGGGCGAAGACGGAGAAGCAGAAGAGGACGGGCACCGAGCCGCCGCCCGCCGGCAAGCAGCCCCCGCCGCCCGCAGCAGCGGCCTCCGCCGCCGCCATCTTCAGGGGCAGCCGCGCCGATCCCAGCCAGCTCGTCGCGGCCCGCGCCGCCACTCCTCCTCCTCCTCCTGCCGCCTCCTCCCCCCGGCCGGGCGGGCGGCGCCGGCGGCCCCCAATCCCGGCTGCGGCTGCTCCTGCTCCTGCTCCTCCCTCCTCCTCCTCCTCCTCGCACGGGGCCCGGCCCTGCCCCTCGAGCCCTCGGGGGCGGGTGCGCCGCCGGGGTGCCTCGGCCGGGCGGGCGGAGGTTGTCGCCGCCCTTCTTCCTCGGAGGGCGGGCGCCTCCCCCTCACCCTCAGGCGGGCGGCGGGAGGAGCAGCCCCTCGCCCAAACATCCGCCCTCGTCCGGGACGATGCGGAGAGCCCGCGTCCCCCGGAGAGGGGCGGGAGGCGAGGGCACCTTCCCCCTGCGGCGGCTCCGTCGTGGCGCGGCCGGCGGGCAGCATGTCCCTCGCCGAGGCGCGCCCCGCCGCCGCCGAGCTGGCGGCAGAGCCCGCTGCGTGAAGCGGCGCACGGCGGCGTGGGGCCGGGGCCGGCGGCGCCCCGTCGGGCGGGCGCAGCGAAGGCGGCGGCGAGCAGCCGCGCACCGAGCGGAGAAGGCGGCCCCGGGGGCGCGGCTGGCAGGGACGGACGGACAGACGGACGGAGGGAGGGAGGACTGCCGGGCGCCGTGCCGGTCCGTGGCGGCGGCCGGCGGGGACGGGCGCGGCCGCGCTCCGCGGAAACCGGGGAGGGACCTGTTGGTAGAGCCTGAAAAATGTCCGGTGTCTTTCAAGCATGTTCCAGCCCGATCTTAGATCTAGATGGGGAACAGTTGTTCGCTCTCCCGGTACCGAAACCGGTTGCCGAGTTTAGCGAGAGGCTTTCTTCAGAAACGGCAGTTTCTCAATAGCAGCTCAGCACCTGAGCCGCTGCACGCTGGGGCTCTGAACCTGCAGTTGTATCTACAGATGATGAGAAGCGAGCAGGATGCAATGCATCCCCATATTTTATCCCTCCCAGCTTCGTGTTATCTACAAAATTTCCTGATCCGTTATTTATTTTTTTTTCCCCATAAGTGATTGGCAGCTACAAATGTTGCCCGTATTTTTTCCATAATTACCAGATATTTCTGTTGCACTTCAGTGTGCCTGGGGAAAAGGATCCGACTAGTGTGTTACGCACGTAGAAAGAAAATACTGTTAAAACCAATGGATGTTTTCATGCGCTATCGAATGCAGTGGCACCACCAGCAAGATTAATGCATGTCTGCTAAACCTCAATCAGCTGAAGCTCAAAGTTGTTCTTGTGTTTTATTGATGTTGCAAATCTGGAGCTGTCATGTCAAGTGACAATATTATATTTTCACTTTTTTTTTTTTTTTTTTAATCAGGAAACACATTGCTAATATGAATTGATTTAAAAATCACAAATGTAAGGAGCTTTCACAATTATATATTTACATGGTCCAATTATATATTTACGTGCTCATATATTCTCTAGGCACAGAGGCAGCCTAAAGTGATTATTTCATCCACTACCCAGGAAGCAAATGTCCAATGGATTCTGCGTATTACAGGGAAAACATGAAAATTTCACTGCATATAGGAAGAAATTACACAAATTAAGGTTTTTAAAGGATACAGTTGTGAGTCTAAAATATACATTGATTCTGCCTTCTACTGACAGTGAATTCAGTGAGTTCATACAGAGTTTTCACCTTCTTTCTGACAGAGGTAGTGTCAATCTGATTGTATTCAGTCTAACTGAACACATCTCTGTGATTAAAAAATGCTTTTTAAAGAGTGAAAACGCATGAGATCCTGTGCATCTAGGTTCTGTTGAAACATTTGATCCTATCTCATGTGACAATATTTAGCTGGGGAAAAAAAAGCAATTTTCACCTCTAGAAATTCATATATAAGGATGTTCAGTGAAGAATATACAACTTTATGCCAGCTGCCAGCTATAAAAAAAACAGCAGCTAGGGTTCAGGGCTTATTTTAATTATTTTTCCATGCTTACTGTTCTGCTAATTTAATTTTTGATTACAGTCGGTCATTAGTGCTGTTACAGTAGAGGCATACAGGGTGAACAAGTCTATGGCCCAACTGTTAGCTGACTTGAATCAGTTCCAGTTTTTGAAAAGGTAGGGTGACAAATTGACTACTCAGTGAATTATATTTATTTTCTGTGACTTAATTTGGTTTCCAGTTCTTAATTTGTACCTTATTTTAATTGAGTGCAGTTCTAAAATTCAATGTATTTCTAAAACAGCATAGGTAGTGGTTTTGTTGATTAATGGTGTCCTAGATGGGCTTCCTTTTTCCGTTATAGCAAGCTCGAGCTATCTGTATTAACAGAATATGCCATTACAAGTTTTTACCTTTCGACAATTGCTGTCTACAATGAATACATTTGAATACAAATTACTCCATTATTATGCAGAATATGTAACTGATATTTTGGTAGGTTGACCAGATTCAGGCTTATTAAATAACAGAAAAATTCTTGCTAGCAGATTAGATCTATGCAATGGCAAGGAAGCAGTACTCAGATTCTTCCAAGATCAGGGTGAGGAGGGACTCCTCTACAGCAGCTGACCGTTGCCCCCCTCTACGTCAGGTCAAGGAGCAATCAGGGACATGGACCTGGATGTGCAGAGCCGGGGCTGCTCCTCCCTCCCTCCCTGTCCAAGGCCTCACAGACAGAGGAGCACAACCACCAGATCCCTGCACACATCTGAAAGCAAAGGTGGCTGATTGATAGCTGCTTTCTTTACCACCCAACCCATCCGTCCTTGCCAAGTGACACCTAACCTGGCCTTTATCTGCATCTTAACTCTGCTTGCATCATACTATGCCACCTAGGATCTTTTTGCATTTCGAATCCTCTCTCTTCCCCCAGCAACTGCACAGTCAAGTCTTTTCACGTGTAGTTTAATTTTTCTTCTGAAAGCACTTCAGTCTTCTTGAGTAGCTGCCTGTGCTTGGATGGTACTGTCCCGTAGAGAAAGACACTTCTGATGACAGCAGATCTCACACTACGAACTTCCATCCCTAGCTCTGGTCATCTTCAGTGTTCAAAGTATCACCCTGAGACACAGACTCAGAAAGGGACACTTTTCAAGCATCAACAGCTGGATGCAAGTCAGATTCACTGACCTTTCATGTGTCTTTTAATCATACAGCTCCTGTTGCAGTGGCAGATCAGGCTGCTTTTCATTAAATTGCAGAGGTATGTCACCATCACAAATATGAGTCTGTGGCCCACCTAGAAAATCCAGCATAGGATTTTTTGCTTCACAGAAAGAAAAGAGGATATGATGCACTATGCAGGGAAAATGTCCAGTGATCCACATTGCATCAACCTAAACCAAAGATGTATTTTTTACTCAGTTTGAACAAGAGATGTGTGTAAGGGCATTCGTAACACATCCCTTTGGTGCTTCACACTGCAAGTGGTGTGTGATTGGTCCTCATACACAATAAAGAAAATTTTAACTTCTACTACAAAGTCAGTGCTACTGATCTCCAACCATGTTTTTTTAAGATGCTGTCAATCTCACACTTAGAAGATCAGCATATGCCAAAGTCATAAAAAGGGGATATAATCACAGCAAATATGCCTCTTGGGTGGTACATACAACAACACACTATAAAGAAATTTATTGAAAACTACCAAAGTATCAAAGATTTTAAGTGCAGACCAAATTTCTTTAGCCCAATTTCTGTCTATGTCAAGTCTTCCTACTAGCAAGTCCATTGGCATTCTGCTCAGACACAAGGCTCTGCCTGCCACATGAGACCTTCCTTTCCTGCAGCAGAACTGAACAAGGTCATCTGATCTGTAGCTTCTGAAAGCATTTTTTTGTTTGTTTATTTTCAGCAGTTAAGGAGCACTTCCATCAAGATCTAGAATGGATAGGTTGAGATAGGTGGAAGCTCATGCTATGTCCACTTTAAAAATAGAGACATGAATTAGATTTCAGATTGAAGGTCGAGATTCAGGGCATTAAAATGTAAACTTCTTAGTATATAAAGAGAAAAAATGTACATTTTTGTAAGACAAAACCAGTTCAATATTCTAACTTTTGGGTAAGGGTTTATCAGTCTCTCAGTTTGAAGTTTCAGAGGTATATATTCTTCATGATTAATTTTATTTGTTTATTTGAGTCTGTCTGAAAGCCTATTTGATGGTCATCTTCTGTAGAACGAAACATATTTTTGAACTGACTCTACTAAAATTATTCACTCCCCAAAGTACTCCACAGAAAATTACAGGAAAACCATGTATAGAGTAAGCCCTAGAGGAAAATATTTACTGCTCTGGTGATGCCCTCTATCACTGAGATAAGCGTGAATGGTGAGGCATGTCCTGCTGCTAACAGTTTTGTGCTTTGAAAGTCCAAAGTGAACAGGTAGCTTGAAAATTAGAACTGACAGATTTCTTATAGTTCAGAATCTTCTTTGGTATAGCAACTGCCTGAAATTTATACATCTGCAATAGGAAGGAAGTCAAGGAAAAGGTCATACTACTATTCTTCATAAACTGGCATGCATAAATACATTGCCCTTCTGTGCAGTTTCATTGATTTTCTATTATTTCAGTGTTACTCAGTTCCCCTGTGGTATTTCAGAATTATTTTCATCTCACATCCAAATTACTGCTTTTATTCCCTATGAGGGCATGTCACAGATTGCATTGTTAAAGTAAGGGTATAGCACAAAAACCTTGGTTAGATCTCACACCTTGTCCTGCAAACCTGTATTAAGCTACCTTGTTGTATCAATGAAATCCCATTATAACGCAGCTCAGCACAGATAGCTTAGTTTGCAGTCCTGGACTTGCAGTCCCAGCTGAACACTGTTGACTTTAATATATCTGGCTAAGCCTGCATTTTGTTTTAAAACTACCCTTGACACTGGGCTTACAGCCAGATTTATTTGCTATCTGTGCTGCATACCTGAGATAGTGTCCCTTGCGCTGGCTCTGTAGTAATTCTGCTGATACTGCTGGGGGGAGGACTTTGCAGGTGCGTACTTTGCACTCCAGATTCATGCCAAATGCAGCGTGGACTTGCCTCGGCACCTCATATTTGGCACAGCCATCTGCAGGAATATTTTATTAACATTGCACAAAATCCTTTCTAAGAG